TATCGCTTTAAACACATATGCGAAATTTTAGAAAACGCCAATATATAAATTTAAGTATATCTTCGGAAATTTTGAATAAAAAACTGTAATTTTTTGCAGGTATGCTTAGAAATATATTTATAGATGATGGTAAACATTTTATAGATTATAATTTAAATTTTTTTTCGAAAAATTTATAAAAATTATTTTTAAAAAATCTGAAAGGTTTCAGATTTTAAATTACGTCCAAAGGGTTGTTTTTTTAACGTTTTGTGTGTTACCTTTATTTATTAAATATCATGTTCTTTACACTTAAACCATAAAATTCAGCTCAATAGCAATATCGCAAAATAATTTTTAAATGAGCATATCTTTAGAATTTCCGATACACAGTTACGCGCTCTAGAGATAAAAAGGTCCCCCCCCCCCCATAGAGTGTTACCATTGCTCACTTTGAAATCCTTGAGTTTGTAAATCAAAAATTCGTTAAAGTTTTACAAAATATGAAATCGATAATAAAACAAATTCCAAATTTGGTCTTCCACATGCCCGTATTCGTAGGAGGATTACGTCATTCAAAATTCAATGGCTCTATGTACCGTTGTTTTATCACAATGCGAGAAATACGCATACATTTATGCAGATTTTTCATTATTTAATTTCTTCAAATATAATGTAGGACTCTAACATTTGGTGGGAACAGTTTGAAAAGTGAAACGGACATTTATAGTGATTCAACGCAAAATAGCAAAACGAAAACAATAGTCCTTCAGTGACAAAGCCCCTTTGGACTAATAAGAATTTAAAAAATACATTATAAAAAAGTAGGCAAATTTTATTTGGTATAACCTAAATTTCGAAATATCAAAGGAAGAATCAAATAAGTTTAATAAAAAAGAGAAATTGATAAATATTGTTGCGTGCGTACGGGTTCGTTATGAATGAATGCACAAGTCCGATGAAAAATGAACAAAAATTTATTATTACCACAACAATAATGCTTAAATTTTCTCAAATTATCATGCAGTATTACAATATCTCACAGTAGTTATCTTTTAACTACTCAAATGTCCAATAGAACGTAATTCAAAACAGCTAAAGAAAGCTAATCCGCGAATTCGCTTCAATCAACAAGAGCAATTTTCTAAACTACAACAAACTAAGCAACTACTCCAAACTGAGATGTTTTCCTCATTTTATAAGATTTTAAAATCACGCGCTAGAATTTTCCAGTACTTTCTCGAAATCAAAAAGAGATATTTATTTATTTAATGCACGCGCTCTTGTATTTTCAATTTTCCGGCTTAGCTTTCTTTTAATATTCGTCACGCGCTGCACTGCGCGATAAATAAAACCATTTAATTTATAATTGAACTAACATTAGCTTTTTAAATACCAAATTCGTAACAATATATATCAAATTCAATTAACTTTGAGAAGCTAAAATTTTGAGAACTAATTTTTTAAAAACTACTCGTGCGATTTTTAACAAAACTTAGCAGTTTGGTATTTGAGTCCTGGAATCGAAATGTGAAAAAATTTGGCATGTCATTTCTGAAAAAAGGTCCGATTTGGTGTCAAAATACCTATATTAGAACAATGCTGTATATAAATCTTATACATATCCTAAGCCGCGATTTCGAGACATGAAAAACGGAAATTTCGTCAATAGCCTTAGTAGAACGGGAGATATAGAACTGTCCCTCTATTTTTTTTTTTTTTTTTTTTTTTGTTCGCAGTGTATATCAGCATTTTACTAACTACTCTTTTCAACTTAGTCATTGATTCGTTCTTCCATTTACTTCATCACCTGTAGTGAACTTTGGTCAATCTGTGTCTCATAAGGTGCTTCATTCACAGATTTATTCAAAATACATAGACAGCCTTCGGTATCTCGAAATCGGACATCTTTTTTTATGTGTGACATTTGTTTCAGCTTTGCTGACATCTTCCCATGAGACTGATAATACTGAGGAACGTTCTTTGTGTTGAAACACATAAACGGATAAATATATAGCTAATTTATTTGTCATAAATTAATTATAAAAGAAAAAAGGATTCATCAGTGACACAAAATAAACTGGCATCGAGTAGAGAATTTATAAAATTTTACAACTGTTTAAATAAAATAGATCCCAAAATATCTTTAGAATAATTCTTTACTGTTTCCTAACAGAATTAGAATTATTAGAATATTGATCTCAATAGTATTGAATTTCGTTTGCTATTTGACATTTATTAAAATATTAAGTTAAAGGATTCGCAACGCAAGTCAAACAATATAAAATACTTATAGTACAACTAATTATGTTGCGAGACTCTGAATTTTATTCATTCAGTCAGTCTCCAGTAAATGAAACGTAAGCCGCTCAATCGGAATAGTGATTAACGTCGCTGACTGCCGCGCCGAAGATCCCGGGTTCGAATCCTGGAGAAGGAATGGATGTCATACAAAATGTATAGTGTCGGTGCGGCACTTTCTGGCGGCACTGTAAATATGCGGCGAGCCGAAAGTCCTCTCATGTTGTTTGGTGGAAGGGGAGAAGGGGTAAAGGCCCTCGGACCCGTGCCCCGGGGTGCTCTCCATCAAAATTGGAGGGCGGAACTGAGCTAAATTGCACTGTCACCTGAATGGTGTTCAAGGCCGTTGCCAATGTAGCAGGCGTAATCTAGCGTTCATTGCCACGAGGAATTTCGTGGGCTTGGGCTGACTACGTCAGAAAAGTGATCATAAGTAACAATAACAAGCAACATAATAAGTAAAAAAGGAATACTTAATTAAAATAAAGAAGACAATCTAATTAAGTAATCAAAATAAAAGAGGGAATCCAGTTAGAAAGAAAACACGGCGTATTTCTGCCTTTCTTTTTAAATTCCTCCTGGAGTTAATTGAATTTCAGAAACAGGATAGTTTCTTCAGGTTGTTTAAGCCATGATGAGCTCTCCCACCTTCTAGATCTAAACAAAACTTCTGCAGAACAATCAGTCTCCAGAATTTTGATTAACTAGGTTGCAGCTTGCTGGGATATGCATTGATTGCTTCTTTTGCAGTAACAGTAGGTTATTTAGAAGTAGGAGATGTGAAAAATGTCAGTGCCCTCGCCGGGACTTGAACTTGGACCTCTCGAACGTGCCAAGTGTGCTACCGTTACACCACGAAGGTATAGAGGAAGGAGGAAGAAATACCTTATATACTCCTCCTTTGAAAGGGCGACTGGGCATTAAGCGACTCGACCACGAAGTCCTGGTGGTGAAAAATCATCATCCATCACCTTTTAGTTCGGGTGCCCCTGTAAAGTCCTTAGTTTTTTTTCAAGCAGAAGTACATGAAAAATGAGCAATACTGTCGTCGGCACTAAACCTCTCGTATATGCGCAGAGTGTGCTACCGCTACATCACGAAGGTATGGAGAAAAGAGGGAGGAAATACCTTATACTTTTATGTTAAACTTCTTAATTCTTTAAGTCAGTTATTCACAAATGTTCCCCAATGATCTACATTCTTACTCCAGAGCGTTAAGAAATTCACATTACCAAATCCGAAAAGAATATATCAATAGCTATTTTAGCTTGAATAATCTAGTGAAATAATCCAGTAATAAATATCAAAATTTTCAGTTTAGTGCTCGCAATCTTTTACGTGCATACATTTCCGGAAATAATTCTTTAACCTTAGAAACATTCAACAAAATTCATTTACAGTTTTAAATTCCACTTTTTCATAACAGCATCTTCAACATGTTAAAATAGCTGCTCTTTATGTTCTGCAAAATTCAACGCAAATAATCCAGTAGAAAAGATTGATAAAGTTACATCGCAGACCTTTAGAATGCTTTAAATTACTATAAAATGTTCATGATGGTGAAAGTTTTAACTTGAACTAACTCAACGAACGAAATTCGTATAAATAAAGTTATTCATACTCAGCAAAAAATTTATGCTTGAAAGCTTGGCCAAAGGTGCTAATCAAAGTTCCTCACTTAGTTAAAATCAGCATTCCATCTTTAAACGAATGCACTTTACAACGAAGTAAAAGTTGGCGGTAATAATCTTCTTCATATGATCTTTTAAAATTAGCTCCAAAAACGAGTGCCTGTCTTTGATTTCCCCATCAAAATTCGATTTCGATCTTCGATCTTAAACGGGCCGCTTCTGAACGGGCGAAATAATGGAACTTTTGGCATTAGAAATTCTGTTAAAATGCATTTCTACGTTTACGTCTGTTTTTGCGAAATTTTCGTTATATTCATCTACTATTGTATACTCAATTTGATATTTTTTATCTTCAACTTCTAGTAATAAAAAGCTTATTTCATTATCTATTTCCGTTAACTGAGAATAAATTTTGCGTAGATTAGCAAAATTAGATCTAATGTTGTGATCTTAATATTACTCCCTTTTAATAAGTTCTTCAAACTATTTAAAGCACTTAAACCATTAACCATTAAAATTAATATGGAATTATATCGGAAGAGGTATTTCTACAAAGAGTTGTCATTTCGTTTTCCACAGTTCTTATCATCTAAAACGGAATAACGAATTACTTTTGAATTACGTAAAGAATTAGTTGGAAATGAAAGCAATCTTTCTTCGAGACATAGTAACGCCTTTTTCGATTCAAGAGTGTTTATCAATGCTAATTTAAAATAATTATGAATGAGTTTATTTCCTGCCAGTATAAGAGTCAGTTTTGTCTTAGTGTAAATTATGCCTAGAAGATAATTTTATTTCATTCAATCCCAATTTTGGAGCTTTGGCTATATTTAACAAGTTGAGCATTATTTAAATGATTGTTTACGGATCCACGTTGAGTCCTTTAATTTGTGTTATGAAAAATATTTGGTTTGTCATGAATGGCAGTAATTTCCAATGTTATCTTTGGGTACTTCGGTAAGATTTCAGCTCTCGATGTATAGCTTAATCCTATTTGCTGGTAGACTCCACGTGAAAGGATATTGGTCCAATCACAGTCTTCCATACGGATGGTGATTATTTCCTCATATCGCTCACGTTTGTAGGCCACGGAGACTAATTTACTTTGAAAGTATCTGCGGTGCGTGTAAGTATATTTCTACTTTCTCTTCGCAGAGGTATGCGAATATTTAATAATGTTGCATAGAGCATGAGTTAAAAGTCTGATTGTATTTCTTTGCTTTTAGCAACACCTCAGAAAACTGGATACGCACACGACGTTAAGCATCTTTTAGGACGGCTTTTCCGGACGCAGTACGGTAAGTCTCAGCTGAGATAGGATTTTCGTATAATTTGACACGTCGACGTTTGCCTGATTGCGTTTAAAGACTTCCTTTCAGATGAAACTAAGATTAGATGTTAATTAATTGTTCATTCATGGCAGTTATTATTAATCTCAAATCAGCATACACTTCCGTCTGTATGCTGATTTCTGAATAAAAAAAAACTTTGTTTACTTGCGAGGGGAGCTGTAGAAAAGTTTATTTTTTTGACAGGTTTCTGCTCACTTGTTTTAAATGAATTATACAGTGGCAAAATGACAGTATATTTTTACTGCTAGTTATGACAATATGTGGCATATTATCCTCGGTATTAGCATAGTAGATATGTAAATTACGTATGGAGCTACACTAAAGCAAGTTAAAAATACTCGTTTAGCCAACATATGTTTAACTGAAAAGGATTTGACGTCTTCGTTTTTTTTTTCTTCACAGCATTTATATTTTTAGTAATGGTATTACACACTTTTAATATTTTAAAAAATAATATCCTGAAATTATGAATGATAAAAATTTATGAAATTGGCATATGTACTCAGCACATTTAAATTCACTTGGTATAGGGTACTTGGTACTCTAATTAGTTTCAAGAATCGTCTTAGCATATGGTTATATGTTTTCTTAAATCTTGTGGCTCTATTTATTTTTTCTTTCTTCAGCTTGTGTTAGATTTTACAATTTTGATCAAAGGTGGCAATTCTGTTTGTTAGGTGGCAGTTCTAGTTGGGAAATAAAGATATCTACAAAGATGTCATAAGTTTCACTTGTGGGGCTAAAATGCATATATTCTGCTTAATCGGTGAACTTGTTATTGTTTGATCTGTGAAAGTTATAACACTTTTCATAATAAAAGAGCAACTTTTTAGAATGTTTCTTGTAAGTTAAATACCCCAGTATTGTCAGATGTTAGTTTTTTGTAAGATATGTTCCTTCCCATTAGCTTATAATTCATTTTCACCTTGTGTCATATGCTGTCAATTATTGCATTTTGTCTATTTTCTCAATTTAATTTTCAAAACTACATTCACTTCTAGTTACTGAAATATAAAATTAAAATTAATCTTGCACAGTTATCTTCATGCATTTTTCATCTTTTAGCATTTTGTTTTCCTCTACTGCATTCTGGAATAAAAGTCTAGATTACCCCACAATTCTCATACTGGTTACCTTGAGAGAAATATGTGCATGATCCATCTTAGTAATCAGCTTATAACTGAACAAAATTGAAATTTGTGGATATGGTTTTGATGTGGGAACTTAAGACTGAAAAAACTGGATTTGAATTTGACTGCTTGTGATCCTTTCAACATAAACAATGGCACTATTGTCTCTTAGCTGTCTTTCTTAATTATATGCACACTAATTGGGGAAAAAAATCCCAACATAAAGAAGGTTTTATGCTAGATAAACAAAATTTGGTAGGCATTATACATGACTTCTATTTAAATTTTTATGCTAGGTGCATAAGTGTCATACTAGTAGTACCAGTATGAACATGCAAATCAGGTTTGCTTTAAAAATGCCCAGTAAATTCCATGAACTTTGTTTATTGTTGAGATTTAATGTTGGTCAAGAATGCCTGTAAGAAGATGAAGCCATCAGTAGCTTAGAGAGTTTAAACAAAGTCATGTAATAGGGCTATGAGAAGGTGGATTTTCTTTCTGTGATATTGCAGGAGGACTAGGCAGGAATGTATCCACTGTGCATGATTGTTGGCAGCAGTGCTCAAGAATAGGTACTGGCTCAAGAAGACTGACTTCTAGGCAGCCACATGGCACTACTGAGAAGGAAGACCGCTGTGTGCGGCATATGGCTGTGTTGTATTGTACTGCATCTGCAGCAGAAGTTCAAGCTGCAGTGTGGAGTGCAATGACACAACGAAACTGTTACAAATTGGTTACTTTAAGTTCGAAGCCAGGCTCCCCGTAACATGCATTCCTCCAACTACAAATCACTGTCAATTGGGAAGTTGGTGATATCAATCTAGAGTTCATTGGGCTTGAAGTGGAGATCTCTTATGTTTTCTGATGAAAGCTGGTGTCACTGATGGCTTTTTGTTGGTTAGAAGGAAGCTAGGTGAGTATCTACAATCAGCCAATCTGCAGCCTAGACACTTGGAATTACGGTCTGGGGAGAAATTTTGTACGACAGCTGGATCTGGTGATTCAACCTGTTCTGCTGCCATTCATGAACAGCATTCAAGGGCATGTTTTCCAACACTATAATGCATGCCCTCAATACTGCTATTATGACCCAACATGCTGCACAGAGTGTCGACATGTTGCCTTGGCCTGCTAGATCACCAGATCTTCTTCCAGTGGAGCACGTATGGGCTATTATTGGATGACAGCTCCAGCATCATCCACAACCAGCATTAACCACCCCTATATTGATTTAGTGCAACAGGCATAGAATGTACAATACGATGCATACACGTTTGCATGCTTGCATTCAAAATTCTGGCGGTTATTCTGGTATTAATGTACCGGTATTTCACATTGGAAATGGCTCTTCTTGCGCTTGCGTGAACCTGGGATCTTGAAAATTTTATCAATTAAATATGTTACTTAGACAAATATACTATCAAAATTTCATTATTCTACATTTACTTTTTCTTGGTATTGAGATTTTTTCCATCAGTGCATGTTTGGTTAGTATGCTGTTTTATGTAGAATGCTATTAAAAAATCATTGGACTTCATTTAATAAAATGAATAATTAATTTGCTGACTAACATATTTTAGTTTCCTATTGAGAAGCTCTTAAAATTGGACCGTCATGAAAATCGTAAATCTTAGAATTTGAGATGTTATCAAACAAAATACCTAAAATTTTAAGTATCAGACTGGTCTGTTATAGAGGAATATTTAAAATTAAATTAATTCATAATTATATTGCTATAGAGAAAAGATAATGAAAACCTTATTATAACCTTTTCTGTAAGAAATTACAAGTGTTCAGTACGAAGTTTAAACAAATTACAAAGTTTAACCTCTGGTGGCATTTGATGTATTTAAATGCAGTATTAATTTTTAATAAAATTGTTTTTGAGTGCTTCAAGAAGAGTTTTTTTGAACCATACATATATTTTGCCATAGACTTCCTATGAAAATATGAATGAGTGTAAAAAAATATTCTGTATATATGAATTAAAGTATTTTTTATTTCTGTTCATTGCTTATGTTACAACATTTTAACTCTAAGAAAATTGTTTCAGAACAAAAATTCGAAAAGCAAAGAGTATGCATTTATGTCTACAGGGAAAAAAAAAAAGTTAAGAAGTTTATTTACCTGATAGTAGAATATATAGGCTTGGTGGCGCAGTGGCTAGCACATCGCATAGCAGCACCTCAGGTCCGGGGTTTGATCCCTTGATTTCCATCCCTTGGGTAGATAAAATGAGTACCAAGTTTACTTAGGGACTAAACACTGAGGGGCCTGCAACAAGCTGACCACTTGTTCAGGGCACATGTTTACGCATCCCGGGGCCCACAGTCAAGAAAGCAGATTTCGGGCCACTGCTGGCTTTGGCCCACTAGGGCTGTTGTGTCACAGAGTTTAGTTTTAGTAGAATATATACCATTGCTAAGTTCAGTGGTACTGACAGGCACGAAACAAATGAAAAATTTTCTTTTCTGTGCATAAATTATTAGGGAAAAAAATTTTTTAAACTAAAAAACTTATCAGTGTTGACTTGTTTTTTTAGCAGTTGTATTCACACTTGAGCAGTTACATATCATCCAAGATGCTAAACAAAACAAAAAAACCATGGAAAAAGTACAGTGTTTATGTTTTAACCTTTAAAATATAAATAAATTTCATGTTAAATGAGAAGTATGGCCAATGTGTACATCACTAACATAAGTTACCGATTAAATCTTGGGAATCATGCTAATTATGTATAAACTATGTACTATATGCATAATTAATGTGGTTGTTTGTTATTTGTTTTGTGTATATATATATTATACATAGAGAAAATAAGCATTATTGAAAAGCAAATAGTAAACATACATAAAAGTAAATAAATTATAAAGAATTTTAATACTTTCTGATTATCTGCATTTTACCAAAATGTTGTAAACTCGTTGGTGATTTTGGAGAGTATTCACAAAGTCTTTGACAATTTTCCAGAAAAACATTTGTTTTGATGTCGTTTACATCCCTTTCAACTTTCATCAAGTGTCACTTATTTTTTATATTCTTTTTCTATATGAGATGGACTCGCTTCTCAGTTTTTTTCACTATTGCTGCTTCCATTACTCCTGATCTGTTTTCACTTAAAAAGATGGAGAATTGTGTATTGAGTATTACGTACAACTTCGCAAGATCATAAAATAAGAAGGAAGAAAAATGCCTGATGCTTGTAAGTGAGCCATATTGCATTCTTAGCTTACAGAAAGCTAATTCTGAGATTTCACCAAAACCTATTAAAATTTCAATATGTGATTTGTTAATTATTATATGGAAATTTCTGTAGGAGGAATCATTTTATTTTTTATTTGTCAAATGCCAGTTATATTGGCCGTTAGGCCATTAAACTTCTTGTTTGCCAATAGCTCTGAAATCTACAGGAAAAATTTGTCTGCTTCTCACTCCTCCAAATGTTACGCTGTCATTAGCTGTCTACTATTACATAAAATGGTACAACTCTGATATACGCCCTAATTTCACCAAATGTGGCGATATGTGTTCTGCGCTGGTTTTTGGCACAATTGCGTGTTGTATGGCAACCCTGTTGACGTTGAAAAGTATTTCGCTGGAGTTCGTTGGTTCCCGTCATGCTTTGTGTCTGAGAAGCTAGGGGAAAAAGATTTAATGGTGAAAGTTGTTGAATTGAAGTTCGGCGTAAGGAAATATCGTCGTGGTCATCCTGTTGAGGGGCAGTGGGTATTGTATTTGGAGGTGTGGAAAGAAGGTATGGGAGATTATTTTTAGTGGTTGTGTGTGATAGAAGTAGGGATTTGTGATTATTTTATT